GGTGTTCTTTCATTTTCATTGGGGTTTTTTGGTTTACTCTTTCTATATTCATATTTCTTGGAAAAGTCAGTCATATCCCCTCCCCTCTTTTTATCCCCATTACCTCCCTTTCCCCAAACCCCACCTCGCCTAATAATATACTTTGGTCCGCTTTCTGTCTGAAATGTTGAGAAAAGCGGTGAGCATTACAGCCTAATTAGTTGTGTAGATGAAGGAGAGGTGAGGGTGTGATCTCCGCATCAAGACGGGGTTTGCGAGTTACGTGCGCGCAACAACAAAAATGTTACAACCAAAGCTCAATAAAAAACGTGGTCATTGACGCTCAAGACACGAAGAATTGTTGGACCTGAAATGGGTAGGCCTGCCTATTCGCACTGCAGGTCTGCCAGCAAGCGCAAAAAGTGAGCAAGGAAACTCGCAAGGCGAAGTACAAACACCGCAGAATACCTGTCTACCTGGAGCTGTCATCTCTGGCTCAGAGGTTGACGTGTAATGACCACCCAGTGTTCACGGTCGCCAGTTGCCGTTTTACATTCTGCCATACTCAGATCTGCGCGCTCATATGACTTAAAGCAGTTGAGAGTGCCGTGATACACTTACAAAAAAAAAAAGAAGGAAGAAGTGTTCAGACCTGTCCATGTTTTGATACTGTAAAAAGCATAATGTAAAATTTTGTTGTTTTTCTTTCGAAAAGTGAGACGGAAACAGACAAAAATGAATAAAGCACTAATACTTTACGTTCTCATAGGTATCTCAGTGAGCTCTGTGAGGTCGTCTAGTCCACCGGCGAACACTGTGAGAGACAGTACGGTGGATGCCTTTGTGAGGCTCAGGTCTTACGTTCAAAGCCTGCCGGCTCTGACCCACAAGATACCCCCATTGCTGGCCCAAGATGGTAACCTGACGGTCAACCTTTCCTACAATCCGGCTCAGGTTTGTTGGAAACTTATACATTTGGATGTTTATTTTTTGCTTGATTTTGTTTGGGGGTTTTGTTTTTTGTTTTTGTTTTTGTTGGGGGGGGGTTTCAGTTAGTTTGCTTTTTGTTGGTCGTTCTTTTTTGGTTTGTTTTGTTTTGTTTTGTTTTGGTTTGGTTTTTGTTTGTTTTTGTTTTGTTTTATTTTTGGGGGTTTTG